ATGAGGTTTTACCTTGGTAGATATTCTGTTACTATTGACAAACGGGTTCGGTCTGTCACAGCACCCATGAATAGAACAACATTTGGGTGACGCACACGTTTCATTATTGCAACCTTCACAGGATTGAGAGTTTCAGAGAGCGTTTCAAAGTTACTAAAAAATAGATTTATATGCTTTTTCTTAATACATACCTCTCTGAGAAACTCTCTGAATTGGTCATCATGGAAGTCTTGAATAGATAAAATTTTAACAGCAACATCCTTAAACAAGAAACAAGAACTTGATTAGCATCTTGTGAAGAAAAATCTTGTTTCAAATGAAGTGAGAGTGAGACATTAAATAGTGAAACCTACTGATCCATGCCACTCAGCACGATGAACAGTTCCAAATGAACCAGCACCCACACGCTCTTTGATATGCAACTCATCCCATGAGATCTCAAGCCAGTCTGATGCCAAAGAAGGCTCAATACTCAAGAATGGTGAGATAGCATCAACAGGTATCCTGCCTTTTTTATCTTTCCGAGTCTCAGCTTCAGCTATCTCTGGTTCAACTGGTAAGTCTCCGTTTGTCTGTTTAATGACACTGTTTTCAATCGGATCTTCTAACAGAGAGTTCTCCTCTTTACAAGTTTCTTGTGAAGCAATCTTGTCTTCACTAAGTTTTGGTATATCAAGTGGTAAGGCTCGAACAATAGATCCGGTTGAAACCACTGAAGATGCTTTAGTGAAGCAAACTTGTTCAACATGAGCACAGCATATTGTCTCTGCAGGCAACTCAATGTCTTTGTGTACATGGCCTTGAATGCTTTCAGAAAGAGCGCATGAAGGTTTTGAGTTAGTGTGACAAGGAGATGTACTACGCACGAAAGGTCTTGAAAATTCTGTAAGATGACTCATCCGAAGAGGTGAAGGAATCTGACACAGTGTTTCACCGTTGATAGAAGAGTCTGGATCATGGACATTTCCTGGTTTTCCGATAAGGTCAACAACATATTCCCTGTAAAGAAACGAACTATGCTCAAAATATGGATTACAAACTCAAAAAGCAACTAAAATGCAGCAATGATACTCCAAAACTAGCAATGATACTACTGTACGCACAGAATCAAGAACATACACAAGCATATACCCCTGGGGAGCAGAGACCAAATCTGTTAGTAAAACATAAAGAACTCATAAGTGTTTTAAGTAGAAGCATGTTTGAACTTCCTGAACCATATCTAAAAGTTCACAAGAGAAGGCATGAAAAACTGTTTTACTAACAGCTAGTGGGAGGGTTATAAGTTTTGACATTATCAAACCTTGAAAGCTTCCTGTCATCGTCGATCTTGACAAGGCAACAAGATTGGTGGTTCTCTTTACAGTACCTGCATCCTCTAGCTATCCGACATGGTAAACCAATGTAATCCGCCAGTTTCTGCATATATTCAAGGTGAGCAAGTCAGCATCCAATATCATATACATTTAATACCATCCAAATCTGTTAGTAAAATGCATTTAATACACTTTGCTTAATCCAGTGTAGCAAGTCCATGTCTCACCTTAAACAAGATGGCACGGTGCCGACACAGCCCCATGGTTAGACTACCAATAGGAAGAATAATACATTTCCGAAACTCCTTGAGTCTACTGCTAACCAATTTCCATCTTTTCTGGAGATCACCTTGCTCCATCTGAAAGTTCCCTCTATAAAAACCTCCACAACCTCAGCACATACACACACACACACATATCATGGAGAAGATAGCAAACAAGAAGAGAAAGTGTACCCCATGTAAACAGCAACAAGTCTGCCAAGTTGCTCCACGAGTACTAACATGTTCTCAGAAGCACAGTAGAGCTCATGTGCCTTATCCTCCATTTCTTTGAGACGAGAGTCTTCACGTCTGTCTATCAAAACAACTTCCATTGATGTATCGCTTGGTTCAGTCTCCTTTAGTAATAGAAGAGATGGTAATCTTTTTCCTTCTTCAGAATCGTTACACATCAGCCAAAGATATGGATCCATTCCTAGGATGCTGTAAAACCCATCTGATATCTTGTCACTATATGATAAACAACCACTTACCTGAAAAAAAAATGATAATGTTTAATTTAATCTAACTAAATCTCATCAAATGTTAAAGAGAGAAATGACTTTTTTGTTTACCCAAAAACGGTAAGAGATAGTCTCTATGCTCTGTATCTGAACAGAGTCACCTCCCAGATTAGCTTGAGAACTTAACCTCCTAGCAAGCGTGACTTGCAAGTAATAACCTTCCTTTGACTTCTGCGCTAGGGTTTGCTCTTTCCCCTCATCTCTAACCTCACCTTCTCGTTCCTCCTTCGTCACGGAGACACGTGTACTCGTCGAGGTCTCTCTTGCTTCCGTCGGACTAGAGAAACTCGAGAAGTTCCCATCCACCGTCGTCCCTGAGAAGAAACTCCCGGCGAAGCTGCTCTCACTCGACATTCTCGGAAGCGAAACCTCCCTATCAAAGCTCCGGTCAATGTTCCTCTCATTAATGTTCACCGTCCTCGTCGAAGAACACGACGCAGCCGCCGCGACTATGGAATCCGGAGAATCAGCCGCCGAGGAGGGGAGAAGATGCTCTCTCTCCTCATCACCTTCGCTGGACATAGACAAACGCGTGGGCCTCACGGTGGTAGATGACCTAGAGAGTTTAGCTTTCTTCTCCGCGAGCCACTCGTAGAAAGCCGCGAGATGCTGCTGCTGCTGCTTCTTCTCCGAGATACTACGATCATTATCATTACCAACGCTGCTTATTGAGAGACCGTTCAAGAGATCTGAAACTGCAGAGTTAGAAGAAGGGAACACAACTTCTTGTTTCTCCTTGTTTTGATCTCCACCTCCACCTCCGCCTCCATTAGGTTTATTACTCTCGAATCCAAAACTCTCCACAGAGGATGAAGACTTCTTGTCGTGATCGATTTTGTGAGAGAACGGATCGAATCCACGATCCGGAAACTGACGGGGGAAGAAGTAAGTCGTACGGTGAGGCATCTGAGAAAACTTTTCAGATCAACCTAATAGAAGAGAAGGAAAGTCTTTAGCTTGGCTTGCAAGTTATCTTTTTTTTTCGTTCAGACAGAACCAACCACGACGGTTCCGGCGTGGACAAAAAGAAGAGATGTGTTTTTGTCGGATCAAGAAGTGTTGAGATAGGAAGGAAGAAGAAAAGGGAAGCAGCAAATGGGGAATAAAATATTTGAATTTTTATGTATTAGAAAAAATAAAAAATGGACAATTAAAAAAAGATTTTCAAGAGCGAGAGGGAAGGAGGGAGAAACTTTTATGTGACGAGCTTACACGTATAGTTTTCATGCAATAAGATGATGCCACGTGGATGTGTGATCTTATTAGTCATGTATTGCTTGGTTTCATGAGCGCAGTTTTGTTTACTTTATAAGGTATGGGTGGCTTTGTTTTTTTGGTGTCAAAGGTAAACGATGACTCACGCGCAGTCACGAGTGAATGTGAGACAACACTGTAATATGAATCAAGTAGAAATCATTCAGAAATAGGCATAATAAAATGCACCAAATCGTATCATAAATACATAACCAAAATAGTCATAAATCATTCAGAAATAGGCATAATAAAATGCACCAGATCGTATCATAAATACTAAACCAAAATAGTCATATACATAAATACTAAACAATCTTTGCGTTATTGTTTTTTTTTCTTTAGTTACGGAATTATGTAGCTGGTTATTAATTACGAACAAGTTGTATACAATCTTTAAATAATTATTTAGACAATCCTATCTATTTGTCTCTTCGATAATGCGAAAAAACATATTGGCTTTTTACAGATAAAAATATTAACCAAAAGAAAAAAAAAATATGTGAATTCTAACGTAAGACTTGTGATTTCACTTGCTTTATCTCTACGAGATCTTTTCTTCCGTTATATGTGAGCGCCCTTTTCTGAATCTTTATGAATCGTAGAGAACGACTTCAACACGAGAATGTGTATTATATTTGTCTTTGTGTCTACACGAAAATATATTTTGTCGATTACAACGTCAAACATATTAGGTTGATATCACAAGAGTGTCTATCTGTTTCATTACCTTTAAGCCTTAGGTTTGGTGAAGCCTTCAGGATTAACTCGTGACCACGTACACTAGTTTTCAGTTGAACAAATTGTATCTAGACCATTTGTTTAATACATGCATGGACCTCTTTCATACTGTCACAGATAATAAAACCATTTACTTTATTCGATTACTTTTGAATTTTTAAATTGAACAAACCAAAAGACATAAACTAGAGGGCAACGACTCGTCACGAGGATCAAATCACTTTAAAGAGACAGCTTCTCGAATAATCTCATCATAAATCCGATGAATAAACTATTGTATTGAACACTATATTATACTAATTTATATTGTTTGGCAGAAGATTAAAGAAGATGAAAATGTGGTTGGACGGTTCTCTTTCTTCGATACATTTTTGTGTGATGTATTATTGTTGTTAGTAGATAATCTAATTAATGGTCCCCAAGTCGGGTTTATAACACACACGTGGGTTTGGTATATAGTGCATGCATATACACATATTCTCTAAAGGGTTCAGATCGAACATGCTTAGTTCCTTCACTTCTCCTCAGAGCCTTTGTCCATGTGTTGGCTTGGTTACCATACTTTCTAAACATGTAACTCAATATCTGGTTTTAACCCAATATCAACCAGTTGTCTTCATGAAATCTTATTCACATTCAATGGTTTTAACACAATCAGATACACCTACCATACCAATATTTATATTTTGTTCAGATTTCATGGTCTTATAACATTTATTGGATTCAGTACCTGTCATTATTTCCTCTTAGGATGAGAGGTTCAATTACCCAACACAAATTAGGAAAAGGTCCATGACAAGACAACTGGTCTGGTCTCAGTTATGGTCTTGTTCAATGAATGTATTTGAGCATTTCTGATTAGGCATGTTTAGCGAGTTTGTGTTGTATATCTTCAACTTTAGCCACAAAAGGATGTTCACTTTGCGAAATGTTTGATATGGACAGTGCAACACATTCCAAATATCAAACTTTCGAAAACCATTTATATCTGATATGGCAAATTCGATTTGGTGTTCGGTTATGGTTTCTATAATACATGAGATAGTGACAAGATAAAATCATAGAGAATAACAACTGATTCTACAAGGATTTCGTCTATCTTCTGATTCTTATCACAGTAATTTAGTGATTACCTAACATATTAGATTGATCACCATTAGCAAGAGAAACCAAGGCAGCATGTCCTTCGACAGTTGCAGGTTCAGAGTTCGTGTTGTTAGCACCGGCATCACCTCCACCTTCGACCTACAATTTCAACAATCAACGAAGCTTTCCCTTTCATGTGTTAAACAAACCAGAGACGCAGGGAGAATAAAATGCTTACAGGTTTTATTATTGCCATATGATTCTCTTCTGTTTTCTTAGAGAGATCTCTCAATGTACCCTACAAGAATTGAACCATTTACACATTGACTAGATACCAGTATATCTTATAATCTGGAGCTTAACGAAAACAAAAATAGATGTGAAAACAGTAATGAGTTAGTGATGGAATTATATCACTTTGTGGAGATTGATACGTACCCTGTTAGTCCAAAAGAGTCCACAGGCATTGCAGAGAGTTCTGGGGCCTGAAGGGCCACGTCGCATCATCGGTGTACAACTGGAACTAATGCCGCAATGAGTACACCTAACTCACATTTAAAATTAGAAAATAAATTATTTGAACACGAATTGCAGAAGCAGTTAAGTAGCAGAGGTAAAACGCACAGTATTTCTGGACGGTTATCGTCTTGTGCAGAATCTTGATCTGTGCCCGAGTTATAAGCTCCCTCGGTCATCTTGGCAGAGGTGAATTGACCTTTATTACGTGCCATTCTGGTACAAAGTATAAAAAGGTCAGAGCTATAGAAAAGGTTGAAAAATCCTCTATCTCTTGATGATGAAGTAGACATGTCGATCATTCCCAGTTAAAGCTAACTATCACACTAACTACAACTCAATTCTATTCAATTCAATCAGCTGCAAACATATCCTCATATATTATAGCTAACTATGGAGACTGAAACCTGAGCCATTACATAAGCACCTACCTATATGGTCACCGAACTTTTTAACAAAAATAGTAAAGCAGTCTGCAACCAGAGGAGCTATGCTTTTAAACCCATATCACACAAATATGTGTTAGTAATTAACAAACTAGATCGCAGCGAACAAAGAAAAAAAAAACTTTTTCAGCTTAGACATAGAAAAACACTACATTATTGATCCCAAGAAATGTGAAAGACATACTTCCAGCCTCTTGAAAGAAGTAACTATCATTTAATCCATTTCCTAACAGACAAATGCAACATTATTAGACACTACTCAAGCTTTCAGGATTTTGCTAATACCCCACTTGCAACAAAGTTACCTAAATACTAAGGGTGGTCCTAGGCCTAAGAACTTGGCTAACTCAAAGAGTGATCCGCATCTTAAACTGAAAACAACTAAATAAGCTTATATATCCTCTGACCTTAACGCAACTTCCTGTCGAACACCATATCGTACTTTCTTCTCGAAACATCTAGCATTCCTCTTCTTCCGAAACCTATCCAAGGACTGCGCCCGTTGCGGATGGCTATATCTGTTCTGGTATTCTACAACAGCAGGCTAAAAAGAAACAAAACAAAACAAAACATAGATGAATTTCACCATTGTCCAGGATTTGAACACACAAACAAACAATCGAAGTTACCAAATGATTCTGTGGAGCTAGTTCCATCCCCTGCGGCACAGAAGAAAGCTCAGTAGAACCACCCAATAGCGACAACACAGCATCAACCTACACAATCACAAAGAAGCTTCGTTAGCTTAAAGCACAAAACTTCACACTACCACTACCGCAAAGTATTCACCTTTTCAGATAAAGACTAACACATGCCCTAAAGGAACAAAGTAATCACCTTTTCAGGACCAACAGCATCAAAAACATAAACTTGACCACGGAACGAGATCGTTAACTGATTAGCTCCCTCCATCGGCCGAGAACCCATCAATTCAGCTCCCTCGGATCGGTGAGGAACCAAGTGAGAGCCATCTGGAATCAAATCGGAGGCGGCGTAGATAGAGTCAGGGTGAGGGATATCGTCCATATCGTCGTAAGGAATGTGACCAGCGGAGGCCGCGGAGGCAGAGACGTGGTCTTCGCCAACGGTGGCGGAGCTGGTACCGATTTGATTAGGGTTAATCTCAGGTTGGGTGTGGTGAGTAAACATCGCGAGCTGCCAAAAAAAAGAGAAGAGCTTTCACATTTGATTGAGAGGAAAGATATTTGGGGAGTGGAGAAGCAAACCCTAACCCTAATTGGAAGAGAGAAAGGGGAAGAGAGAGAGAGGGATGGTGATCGGCGCGTGTGGAGGTGAGAGATTGGCCGGTGTGGAATTTCACCTACGGTAAAACGGTGACTTGAGAGGTAATAATTGTAGCAAACTTCTGGGACGACGACACTCGATGACTCCCACTCACTGGACTTTTTTTTTACCAATTTCGTTTTGGGCTGTTTGATTATGTTTCTATTATATACTCTGAAGCCCCATTAAGGCTCACTTATTATTTTGTAATTTTTTTCTAAAAACTGCGATTTTTTTTTTAAATGTTTTCTAAACTTAGTATGTTTACATTTACTAGATCCATTTCCCGGGCTACGCCCGGGTTGTTTGGTTGAATTTTTTTTTTTAATACTATTATAAAGAAAAGTTTCTCAGTTTTACCTATTTGAGTTCTCACTATAAAAAAATTTAGATTCATAAATAATTTAAATTTTGATTTTGATTTTAAAATCAGTACTGAGTTTGGAAATATTTATTTTCTCCTTAATTCATATGAGATTCTCCATAGCTAACTTGAGAGATGGATCGACTCTGTCCGGGTCCACAATCTTAAAATAAAAAAGAACCTTTTTACCGGTAAAAGAAGATTCAATTCACTTGAACTTAATGCCATGTAATGGTACGCGAGCTGACCCAAAATGGATGGTATTGTGGTTAAAATAGTGACAAAACTGACATGGAATTCAAGAGGTTCTGGAATTCAAATGACTTCAGAAGAATTGTGTACATCCCTTTAGCCGTATAGAAACTTATGAATTCTGAGTTGGTTAGGTTCATATCACATAGGATATTCAATATGCTATTACATATAATAAAATGTCATAGAAAAAAAAAGAGAATGAAACTTAACATGATTATATGAAAATGATTAATACCTCGGAAAAGGAACAAACTTGAAACTTTTCAACGTGTTATATTATTTCATGCTTTTTGTAATTTATGAAAGGCCATTAGAGCCTTTCCACTGATGGAAAAATCCATTTGGAGTTTTTAATGTTAAAGAATAATATGTGAAATAGCAGTTCAATGTTTAATTTATTTTTTTTTGTTCAATCAGAAAATGCCAACATACTGGTTTTTAAGAGTATCTTGTGAGATTAGGTTTGAATAAATTCATATGTTTCTCTTCCATATCTTTTCATTATGTTTAACTTTTTAACAAATTAGATACCCATCAAAAACGTCCAATGGAACTCTTTTAGGAAGCTTTAGATGTTTAAGCATTTNTTAGGTTTGAATAAATTCATATGTTTCTCTTCCATATCTTTTCATTATGTTTAACTTTTTAACAAATTAGATACCCATCAAAAACGTCCAATGGAACTCTTTTAGGAAGCTTTAGATGTTTAAGCATTTGCATGTAACCCTCACATTTCATCATTTCCAGAGTAAAAAAATAATAAGATAAATTTACTTGAATATATATTTGTTATATTTAGTTTTTATTATTAAATTTATATTTTTCATATTCAATTTTATTATATCTCCGGTGATCTATATATATATATATATATATATATATATATATTGGAACCGATTATAAAATATAAATTGTTAAGCAAATTTATTTTTATTTATTAATAGGTTTTTGTCTAAAAGAGTTGGAATAATAAGAACTCACAATTTTTTTATTTATTATTTTATAAAAAAAAATTGTAATCTTAAGTTTTATGTAGATAAAATAAATGTCAAACGAAATACTTACTTGTTGTTATAATTTTATTTTGGCATCATATATAGAACGGTGATAAATTTATTTAACTTTTGTTATAATCCACTTGGTCAAAAAAATTTTTTTGTTATACTCTATGTACTCTTTTATCTTTGTTATTTAGCTTTTATTTAAAAAATTGTTTAATTTACAATTCAGTTCAACATTATTTTGGCTTCAGAACTTGTTATACACTTCTACCTTCTTCCTATTTAGAGTTAAGGTATGAGTTCCAAACAATACTTTAAAACATGAATACATTATTGTAATAAAGTGATTAATATATAAAAATGGTAATTTGTAAAATCTTCACTACAAATCGGTTTCCTGTGTCCAAACCAATCATTTGACTGTTTTATTTGATGTGTCCTCTTACTTTGTTTCCTCTTATATTCCATCAACTTCTTTTTTTTTCAATCCTTGGTTCTGGTTTTGACTCTCTAATTTGAATTACTTCGTTTAATTTCTCACATGCATGTTCCTATATATTCTAATGAGCACCAACGCTACGATACTTTAGAAAATAGTCTTTAAGAACCTTCTAGTTTCCATACATAACGGATAATGAAACAATATATTTGTGTGTCTGGAGATATAGTAAGTTGTATTGAGTTTGATTAACATTTACATAAATAACAGAGTAACATAAGGATCTGTTCATTTTAACTGTTGTATTCAAGATTCTCTACAACGCTTGATGAAGACGATGTTTCCACCCTGGTAAGAACTTCAGGCACACCCAGAGTATCTCTTACAATCTGTACAACAACAAAAAAAACAACGTTTCATGTTAAGTAAGCTTCTCTGCAAGTTTTTTTTTAAACTTCTAAGAGCATAACAGTTCATGAACTCACAAGAATCTCGTCGTCTAGATAAGATATCATGAAGAATCTCTGGTAAGATCCACCTGAAATCCCAACAATGTTAACATGTGAGGGTAAAAAATGTTGAAAATGTGGCTTATTATTAAGGCTTACCAAGTGGAATCCTTAGACCATTAGCAAGAGTGTCCTTAACAGGTTCAGGAAGCTGCTGCAACTTCGTGGTAGCTTGACCCAATAAACCTCTAAGCTGTTCAGGAACGGCTTCCTCAATAACAGTTGGCGACTCTAGCATTCCCTCTAGATACTCTTCCCCCATTCTTAAAGGCCCTTCTACTGTCTATTTCGACGTCAAGATGACTTTGTTTTCTACCTAAATAGACAAATAACTTCTTTATTCTTCTGAATCTGCTTATACATATCTAGGAGAAGTAATATATATACCATGTTTAGCAGCTTAACGTTGGCGGTGGCCCTAGTGCTAGCATATTTAATGACAATGTACATACTTGATAGACTCACAAATGAAGAAGGAAAGCTCCTGCCACAGTCCCAAACAGAGAAAGAGCAATACCTAAAAATGTTTTTTTTTTTGTGTATATTCATGAGAAAGGGGACACAGTGGAAAGAAGACTAAGTCGGATATGACACGAGCAGCAAGTGACCCAGGAGTGTTGGATCCAAACCACTCAAAACTCCATCTGTCTTCAAGGTAAGGAGACCTGGAAAAAGACATAACAACCAGTTCATCATACTGTTCTTTTAAAAAAACTTAAAACCGCAAGATAAAATATGAGGACATACGTGGTTGGTCTAGGAGTTGGGTTAAGCCGCTCAAGTATTGTTATCCTCTCATTCACATCTATCTTTTGCATATCACTGATCTCCCCTGTAACTAAATCCTTAAAGCCACCAGCATCGTTGAACTGTAACAGAGAGTAATCATCTGCTTCACATCTCCATCTCCCTAAAGCTACAGACTTAAAAATCTCGTCAGATAAATCGATGAATTAAGTAGCTGAATGCATAAAAGAAGAATTCAGCGCATGATTGAGTATATTACAAAACAGAGCATCAAACACAGACTAATCTCGACATTCATGGTCTAATCTGTAATTCTCAGGTAGTTTCTCAGATAGACAAAAGAACCAACTAAACGAAATCTCAAAGAAACCCAAAAAAAAGTATGAAGTTGAAGAACAAACTCATATTAACCTAGCAACTAAGCTAGTTCACGGAAACCTAATTAATATTGCTGGTGAGAAAACATGGGTAAATAACTCAGAGAAGAAGCAAAACCCACAAAGTTTCAAACTCTATCTTACGATACACTTCCAGATTTTCACTTTATATTTTCTAAACAAAAAAAAGAGTAAACACAAACGAAAATAGAGTATTAACCATCAAATGAAAAGGTATACCTCTTCATCGATGAGAAGCAATTCAAGGCCAATAAGGACCTTCGTCAACGTATTCCACGCTTCCCAGAAGTGAATCAGCCTGAATCGTAACACGCCCTCATGAGGACCCAGTGTCAAGTTCTTGAATGGAATCACCTCCTCTAGGTCGTCAGAAAC